AGCATTACAAACAGACATGTTTCGGTGATCAATCGCCTTCCTCAGATACTTTAATGGTACTGTATAATGTGTATTATTAGCATAAATACAAAGAGTATATTTAAACAATAAGGTTACAATTTTAGATTAACATTAGCATGAAATACTTGTTGGTTTAATGATGGATTGAGCCATTTAATGTGTAATGCCTCCTTAATTTCTAGTTGGTATTTGGAGGTGGCAGTGTCAATTATTGTGAAACATTCCTTGTCACAACCATCTCTGTAGTTACTCGAGCGGTTTATGTGTTTGTATATATGTGAGAGGATTTGTCCTGAGAGAGGTGTTCAATCATGCGTGTTTGAAAATGGCGGGAAGATTCCCCCACATAACAAGCAGAACAGCTTGCACAAACAAATTTATAAACGACACGTGAGCGTAACCAACGATGTCCTTCACCTTAAAGAAATTACCAGTCTTGAAGTTGTTAAACACTAGTTTGATGTTGATGTTGGTGCGAAATATATGTACTAGACTATTCACTTTTTGTTGAGCAAATTTTGAAAATTGTCCAAAATACGGTAGCTTAAAGAAATGATCCTTAGGTGTATCAATGTTACTGACATCATTATCATGTATGTTTGAGATCTCTTTAAGATCTGTTATATAAGTGTTGTTGATTTTGAAAATGTGATCTATTACGGTCTTCACTAAGCCTATTTTGTAAGACAAAGGCGAAAAGCTAAAAATAGTTTGTGAATAAACAGGTGAAAGTTTTCTTACGAAAAATATGTAATTGTTGAAGTTGTTGAGTTGTTTATACTAATATCCAAAAATGTCAGAACGTTGTTATTCTGTTTCTCCATATTGTAAAAGTTATGTTGTCATGTTTACTATTGATATATCAAGGAAAAGGTCTGCAGTTTCCTCGTTCTTAAATAGACAAAACGTATCATCAACATTGATCACCGAAACATGTCAAAATTGCAGGCTGTTGTTTTGTTCTTAAAAATACTATATCAATGTCTACTGCTACGTCCTTTTATAGATGAATGATACATTTTAATATTCAAACAAATCCTTCCAAAAGAAGACACATTTTGAAGTGTTTCATACTTGTAAAAAGTCATCATACATCCAGTGATTGTCATGTTCATCGGCACCTGGGCTGACATTCGACCAATCAAAAGCATCTTCTCCTTAGTGTCTGGATGAAAAGCAGATTCAAAGAGTTTCTTTGCTCGCCATATTTGCTCATCTGTAGTTCCGGCTGGTTCTTCTCCTCGTCTGCAACAAAAATGCTTGGTTCAACTTGCCCACTGGCAGATTCAGTTCATGGGTGCTACAGTAATGCAGTACCAATCGAAACCTATTTTTTTATTGCTGCTTAAGAACAGCGGCTCTATTGTTAGGTTAGGTTTTGTTTTATTGTTGGAAGACTTATCTATTTTTTGTCCAACCTATCATGGAGACCCGTTCCTATGGGTGCTACCTGGCTCCTGGTGTGCTTTGGGTGCAGATAACCTTTCCTGATACCTTAAGTACCCTTTAATAACCCTCCCTGAGGAAAATCCTCGGCCTGCTGCTGCTAGTGCACAAGGTGCACTTCATAAAATTTGTATTTTAAATATTCCCAGGATAATATAAAGGTTTGGATTGGATGGAAATAGAGAATTG